GTTTCTCTGATGTACAATTCTGGGCAGTTATTGCATGTTATTTTGTAAATGACTCTGGTATAGTGTGATTCTAAATAATTTTAGTTTAGTAACGATTTTAATTTATGACTGGGTTTTTGTGAGAATTTGATGTTGACAGGAATATTGTGTTTAATGGCTAGTTTTGTCAAAGTGTGGATAATTCTTGAGCTGGTTTCAGGAACAAAAGGTAAACTGCAGTATAATGTTCTGTTGTTGGGTTTGTTAGTATCAATTTTGTTCGTGAGTTGAGTTTTGTTGTGGGGAATGTTGGAGAGTTTTTCAACAAGAGCTGGTGGAAATTTATTAGTGTGAATAAAGGAATACTTTATGTGGTTAATTTTTTCATACAACTGATTAATGCACACCACACAAACAGGACTGCCCCCTACGACCTATACTGTCTACTTATGATTCATTGAACTACAATCTTGGCAAATACATAGCCTGGGCTCTCATACCATATCTAACATCTGCAGGTTCATTTTTTAAAGATGCCTTCAATTTCAAATATACACTAGAACAACTAAATTTGAAAGCCTTAATGGCTAGTTTTGATGTCGATAATGAAATATAAAAAACAAAAACAAGTATTAAATAGATATGAAGGACCAGCAATTCAAAACATTGATATATGGTGAGATACAATATAATTTTTATTTATTTATTTTTTATTTTTCAATTACACTAAGAAAATATGTAAATAACAATGAAGTAATGAGACAAGGGGGGAAAGTATAAAATAGTCTTGTAAGTTACTCCTACGGATGACGTAGATCATGTCAAAACATGTATGTGTAGAGCAACATTTTAAAGTGAAAGCCATATGGCTTCAATAAAAATTTTTATTGTGTAAATATAAAACGTTGTTTTTAATTATTTATTATAATTAAAAAAAAAAAGACTAAGAATTACTTCTAACTTGAGAATATTCTTTATTTAATGTGTTATAGTAACTAAGATTTACTAAACAAATACTGCAACAATGTAGTAACTGATTGCTTAGAGTATTATGATAATTACAATTTCCTACTAATTCGAGAGGGTAGTAACTCACTTTTTAAAGTATCTTGCCGACTGAGCGGGGAGACTGGAACAGGAGAAGTATTTCCCATAAGGACAGGAAGCTGGATGTTCCCATTCATGGTATCATGTTTCACACCTGTGCTTGTTTCTCCACTTCTTCCAACTTCAAAAGAATCTATCTTCCCAATAACTCTGGTCTTTTCTATGTCTGATCTTCTGGGTTCCTTAGGTGATGGAACTTCTATTGAAGATGGCTCTATTTCATCCTTTCAAGTTAAACATAATACTAAGTTAATATCAGCTTCAAAATCTTCCAAGAAGGATTTTTCCTACAAGTTAGAGAAACAATGAAAAGTATCAAATTTCAATTGAAAATCCTTGAACATTACAGAAAATAACAAAACCAAATATTTCTTGATATATGGAGTTTTTATTTGTCTTTTATTCCCCACAGTGAACCTATATATATAGAATTTGAAGAATATGTAACACTGATATTACTAATTTATTCTTCTAAATTATCAAGTAGATAAGTTGTTTAAGATACTAGAAATAAATATGAAGCCCAATCAGTTATTCAATTCACTACTTGCCATCAAGTTATACAGGTTCCAGGGAATTCCCCCACCCCATCAGTAATCCTGGATAAGTGCAAACTGAAAAACAAGACTAAACTTCCTCTTATAGTGAACTGTTTTAGTTGTTTTTTACTCACCATGGTGAACCTAATTTAATACAGGTTTTTAAGAATATGTAGCATCAATGCTACTAATTTATTCTTTGAAATGGATATAATTCTGAGCCAAGTGGTGAATAGAATGATCTTCATATTTATTTTTAAACCGTTCTTAATAATTGCAAATCCTTGTTTTTCAAAACTTTATTTAAAAAGTTAAGGAATCATATATCAATGAATGTATAGTTTTAAACAAAATTGTACTCAAAATAAATATTACATACATAATGGAATGCACAATACTACAAACTAATCACATCATTTATAATGACGAAACATATATATATACTACATTTTACTTCAGTTTCATTGAAGTAAAATGTATAAAAGTGGTCAAAACTGACCATGTCAATGTCATCAGTCAAGGCCATCAGTTGTTGGGCATGTTTCTCCACCATTGACTGGTAGGCGATGGGGTTAGCCAGTGCATCAGCCAGCTCTGTTGATTTATGTAAGAAACAGAAGAATTAGTATCAAGCTGACAGCAGTATGGTAACAACTTCTTGTAGCAAAGCACATGAAGTAGACAGTTTGCTGTTAAGGTCAATCACATGACTAATAAGCATGAAAACAATTTATAAAGTTCCAGTTGTTGTGTTATGACTATAGCTACTATCAGTGGATGAGTTGTACTGTTTTGCTGCTACACAACTAGTAAGTTGCACTGGACTCTACATGCTTCCACTACCATCATCAGGAATAAAAATCTATGAGAACAGTATAATGTTTTATATATAGGTTCACTGTATAAAAAAAAACCTGCTGTTCACATAGATTTTTACTCCTGATGATGGTAGTGGAAGCTCCCGAAACACAGAGTCATTTTTAATTTTTTAAATTTTATTATGTAATGTAAACGTCATTTTTGTCTATATTTTTAAATAAATTTTATTACATAATGTTTCCATATTTGTATTTTATATTACTACAACTATTAGCAATGTAGAAGATTCTATACTTTAATGTTATTACAGGTATTAGCAGTGGGAACTCATTATTATAAGGGCATTACAGGTATTAGCAGTAGAGAAGATTTGTCATTATAAGGTTATTACAGTTATAAGCAATGGGGAAGATTTGTGATTATAATGTTATTACAGGTAGTAGCAGTGCTGTTGTATTACTTTTACATTGTTATCAAAGCTATTAACATTAGAAGAGAATTATTATTAAACAAAAAGGAACTGAAAATGGTAAGTATAGATAGTTCAGTATAACTGGAAAATTGTTACTTGTCAAAAATAAAAAAGAGCAGATGGAAAACTGTAAATTTATTTTGAAATGATAACAACATTTTGGTCCAAGGCCCTTTATCTGATAAGTGCTTAAAATCGTTACAAAAATTAAGGAAAAACATATAGTGTAAAGAATTTTGTACATATGTTTGACTTGTTTTGAACATATTATTTTAAAACAATTGGATTATCTGCTGTCCATTTATTGTTTGAATTTATTGCCAACAAGTCACAGACACCTACTGTAGAAGAATCCCTGTCCACACATATATAAAACCCTGACGCATCTTAAACATTTTTAATGCAAATAGCTAGTTCCATTAAATATTATTGAATACAAGTGCTCATCTTGTTCTCATTCCTGACTTTTATAACAATGCCCAAAGACGTTATAAAAAGTAAGATTATAACTTGGTTACTTAATTTTACTTCTTGGACTTTTTTTTAGAAAGGAAACTTAGATTTACAGTATACCTGAGAAAGCATCAGGAATGTAATCTTTCACAGTTATATGGACAAAAAGTGTTGCAAGAGTCAAAGGTTGTCCAGACTCATTCCGTAAAGATATATGTCGATATCCTGTGAATAAAACAAGACCTAACTTATAAACATTATATATCAAAATATGAAAGAATCTTACCAAAATAAACCTAATTTACATACTTAGCAGAATATCTCTAACACCACCTCAACCAGTTCAGTTACTTTTCTAAAACTGGCTTCCATTAAACAAGCATAAATTTTGCACCATAATGTAACAGCAGTATAGGCACTAGCACAGCTAAAGACACTCCATACCATCACTATAAGTAATAGCACACCATAATATCCACATAAGTACCAGAAAAATAACAGCACACCATAATATCAGAATACGTATTAGCACAGTAATGGTACACCATAATATCATAATAGGTATTAGAAAAATAATGGTACACCATATCATCAGTCAGAGTTACAACACCATAATATCAGTATAAGTATTATCAGAGTATCAGCACACCATAATATAAGTATTATCAGAGCAACACACTATAACATCAGTACAGGAAGCAGTGCATGATTATTTATCACAAACAATTTGCGACTGGTCAAGTGTTCACTAAAGATTTATAGCTTCAACTGGAATATACTTTCTGAATTAGAATTTGAAATTAACGTTCTCAATGGTCAAGTGTTCTTGTCAACAGAATTTACACCTCACAAAAGTAGAATGATCATATCTGGAAGCACTGTAATCTGTCACTTAAATGAAACTTTCTTGCAACTTACCAGCTTTTAAAGAAAAACATACTAACACATGGAATATAATATTTATATCACTTGCCATTTAAACTATATTAAGAATAGAGAACTAATGCAATATAGTGCCAAATATGTTAGTAGATTGGGAACTAGTCTGTTTTTGCTATAAAACCTGAATTTATAGCTCATGTGAAAAATGTTATAATTGGATGTATAAAAATAAAGTGACCCAAGAACTTTTTATTTCCAAGATATATATATATTTTTTGTTTTAACTGGTAACTTACTGTGCATTCAACATAGCATAAGGCTTAAGTAAAGCTAAATAATAACCCAAAAGCATAAGCATATTGTAGCATGATTTTATTGTTCTGAAAGTGATCAAGCTTTAAGATAACTTTATAGTTACCTTGTTGTTATTGACAATGCCACCTTACTGAAAAAGCAGTACACAACTAACACTTGATAATTAATGTCGGTATTTTATTTAGATCACTTGATAAAACAATAGCTATTAATAAAATGAAAGAACAATACATGTACCTGGGCGTAGCCCAACTACAGGTAATACCCTGTGACCAATAAATCGTCCATTCTCTTCATTCACAGTAATTCTCAAACACGCCAAGTCAGGAAGTACAACCTGTACAAAAATATACCACACTAAAGTATAGATTACTGTATAAAAGTTACTGAAATTATTTACTGTTAAAACTTTTCCATGATGTTCTTTACACAGCTACCATTCAAATTCTCAATTATGATAAATTACAAGATATATGGTATATAAATTCTTAAAGGCTTTCTTCTAACTATAAAGTTTATTAGAAAAGTTGGTACTTCATAGTCAAATTAAATTCCAGAATATTTTTCTACAAACCACATTAACAAAAGTTACTGTCTTGTTGGGTCTCACAAACAATCTTTTTCCACATGATTTAACTAAAAAAGAAACTACAACATTACAATTATGCATAATGCAAGTGATACATGTATTATAATTCTAAATACACCACCTTTTTATAAACAAATGGATCATCATCATAAATTGGGTTGATTCCATTCACAGGAACTGTCTTGGTTCGAAACTTTCGTCGAACGGTGTCTGCAGGAAGCCCATACATATCCACTTCCACATAAGTTCCCACTCTTTTGTCTGTTAGGAACTGACCAGAAATTATCTAGAAATAAATGAAACCCATTTTTTAGCTAAAGCTTTTAAACTCAATGTACAAACACTGCACCCTTTTTTTTTTTTCAGGCACCTGGAAAATGAAAGATAATTTATTTTTCATATTTCAATTATCATGCAATTTTGCAGTTTGTTAAGACTCTCTTACAACTAGTTAGATCTTTAGCAGGTCAAAAACTTCCTCCAGCTTTCTTGGCACAAGCAGATAAAAATGATGACATGTGGAGAGGGCTTTCCAATACACTCTAACATCAATAAAACAATAATCATATATGCTAACAAATTCCTTTTCCCTGTCAGCCCCAGATCTCGAGCACAGGCCAGGTAGATCATTCAGCACCGGATTAGTGAAAGCAGATTTTCTCTGAGTACTCTAGTTTCCCCCTGTATCAAAATTAACCAGGGCATTGGGTAAAGTTACCCCAACCTCCCTGAAAAGGGCCATTTCTGTTCCAAGTCCATTAGATTCAGTTGTAGGTCTAATTATCACGTTAATAGCACAGTTGATTAAATTCCAATATCAATACTATGTAACTATCAACAACTGCTAAACAGGAACTTGTATGCTTTGTTCTGCCTTTCCTCTCCATGTTCTCTTATCTCAACTACTCACTTCCAGCTGACGCCATCAAAACATGTGTCAATAAACACACATGCTCCTGTTCTGCCAAATGAGTGGCTTCTTCATGGCTTTCTTTCTCGGCTTTGGTCATCTCCCACCATGTCTTCACTTACCCCCAACAATGTACTCTATTTAACTTTAGTCTAGAGGCAAATTCCCATCCAAATGTGGCTTTAACAATTTATCTAGCATGGGGTGAAGAGAAACAAAATTTTCTGAGCATATTGGGTTGTATTTCAGGTCCCAAAAATCTTTTTGAGGCTTGAGATATAGTAAACCTAAATTCCTGCCACAAATTTGTTGCTTGGACAAGGTGCCAGTCTATCACAGGTTAACCACCCAGATAACAGTTTGTACCCATAAACAGCTAGGTACATTTAAAAACTTGTAGTAAAGTGTCTTGCTTATAACAGGCATATCACGAGCAAGCCTTGACTTTGCAATGAACTGACTCCAAGTCCAAAGTGCAAAGCCACTGAGCCACATTGCCCCTAGGTCTTCAGTAGATTGTACTTGATTAAGGAGCATTCTTCTGTAAAGAAAGAATAACATCACAAGAGTTAAAAGTAAAAAATAAAATAGTAACTTCCTGGATGAACTGTTTTAGAACTACACCGAATATTTCTTCAAATTTAATATAAACCTTTGAGAACTCTTTTGTAAATTGTTTAGCAAATAATTCTCCAGAATAAGGCATGAAGATCATTTTATATCTATCAATATCTTAGAACAGCCCACAATTTGTCAAAAGTATTACAAATTCTCTTACACAACTTTTATTGGTGACTCTGTGATCTTACTTATACCCAGCTTTATTCAATATACTAAAATAAAATGAAGCTATGAAGTGCACTATATGCATTGTGAAGCTATAGTGTTCACTATGTGTTTTGAAGCTACAATGTACCCCAGTGGTTAGCAAACTATGACTCGTGGATCACCAAGTGACCCGTGGCAATGATTTGGCTGACCCAACAAAAGTTAGTTTTACAATTGCAGCCTGTGAGGGTGCAATCACTGCTCAGTTCAAATTTCTCTGCTATGTGAGAAGAACAAAGATATTAAAGGAAAGAGTGAAAAAAGTCATGGCTACAGAGTAATTTAAGATCAATTTTAAGCATAATCAGTCAAGAACTGTTTATTTTTTGTTTTTAAATGTACAGTACAAAGGAAGTCATTAAATTATGTGTTGCAAAATCAGTCAAGAACTGTTTATTATCTGTTGTTAAATGTATTCAGTGACTGAATCATCTTGTTTGTTTTTTGAAAATAATTTATTTTGTTTGTTGTATGTAAATATACATATACATTTAAATACATGTACTGGTATTAAGAATTATATGAGTATCACTGACCTAACAGAATGCTAAATTGAAAAAAATATATATATAAATGACCTGCAATCAAAAAAGGTTGTTTTGAAGTTACACTGTGCAGTATATGTATTGTGAAGCTACTATGTGTACCATATATGTTGTGATGTTGTTATGTGTAATATGTGTTGTGAAGCTATGATGTACACTACATATTGTGAAGCTATCAATTAAACACAACGACGTGAAACCCTATAATCCGAGTGCTTTCAAAAGGTGGACCTTTCTTCTTCAGGGACAAATTGAAGAAGAAAGGTTCATCTTTTGAAAGTGCTCAGGTTATTGGGTTTTGTATCTTTGTGTTAAATTGCAATCGTGAATCTATGTGTTTTCCTAACCTCATGAATATTGTGAAATTGTGATGTGCATTACATATTGTGAGGCTATGATGTGCATAATATATTGTGAAGTTATGATGTGCATTATGTGTTGTGAATCTAGGAACAGCACTACATATTGTGAAGCTATGATGTGCACTGTATGAGTGGTGAAGCTCCAATGTGCACTATATGTGTTTTGAGGCTATGAAGTACACCATATGTCTTATGATGCTATGATGTACAATATATGTGTTTTCAGCAATAACGTTATGAGGTGCACTATATGTTTGTTAAGCTATGAAGTGTAATATATGTGTTGTGAAGCTCTGATGTTCAGTGTGTGCTGTGAAGCTACAATGTGTAGTATATATGTTGTGAAGCTATGATGTGCACTGCATGAGTGGCAAAGCTCCAATGTGCACTATATGTGTTTTGAGGCTATGAAGTACACCATATGTCTTATGATGCTATGATGTACAATATATGTGTTTTCAGCAATAACGTTATGAGGTGCACTATATGTTTGTTAAGCTATGAAGTGTAGTATGTGTGTTGTGAAGCTACAATGTGTAGCATATTTGTTGTGAATATATGATGTACACTATATATGTGTTGTGAAGCTATAAAGTCCACTCTGTTGTGAATAAAGTACTGTTTCGATTTTCTAAAATTAGATCTTGTTGAAATTGCACTTATTGTTAAATAAATTTTAATACTTAGAAAAATTGAAACTCACTAAAATTGTTACATTTTAATTCAGAAATTAAGAAATGTGCATAAGCTAAAAAATATACAAGATTATAAGTAATCTAGTTCACCTTAACTGATACTGTTCCAGCTATAATACCATCTACGGTTGACTCTGTAAATGGATCAAATTTCCTATCTTTTCTTCTCATAAAGTCAGGTTTCAGGAGGTAGCCACTGCGAGCATTGTACTCAAAGATGCCCAGATTTAATTGCATTCCCAGATCTAAAAGACAATTCAAAGACTAACATGAAATTTGAATAGTATACACTACATGTTCTACTATTAATATCTTTTACAGTTAGGATATATTTTGTACTACTATCAAATATAGAAGTCCTTAATTCTAAGCAGAAGACCAAAAAATGTTTATTAAATTCTAATTTTATTCTATCAAGCATTTATATCTTTCAGTTATTCTCAACCCCAATCAAGGCCTAAGATACTTTTAGGTTTAGAATCAGCATAGTAAAAGTGATCACTCAATTTCAGATCAGTTCTTATCTTCTACCACTTAAAAAATTTCTATTAGAGTGAAAACAAAAGGATCATTTACAAACAGTCTTACCTAATGTTTGGAAGTTTAGAGCTACCATCTGACAACCAGCATTCCAAAAAACCTGTGTACATTAAAGAATCAAGTCAGATGATAAAAACAAAAATATATAATTTATAATAACTGTTTTATACTTCTAGTAAACAATGAAAGGTTATCAAAATGTTTCAACATTTTCATAAGTAAAAAAAAAGTTTGGGGTGGGTAAAAAAAAAAGAAGAAGAGACAGCAACAAAGTTTAGGATGAATCTATGGCAACTCACTCAATGATTAACACCTATTTACTGACTAACAAAAACGATAAATTGATAGACAAAAAAAACAATTCATTAAAAAAATTCTATCATTTTACCTGAGGCATATAATTACTGGAGTCTACTCGTGTCCCTCGGGGATAGATTCTGCTCAGTTGGCGTTTATTGTAACTGTATTGCAATTCAAGGAAATGAAATGATTGTAAGATAAAGTATTATAATTTGAAGTACAAAAGTCTAAACAAGACTTTGAAAAATATCAGTAAAGACTTTTAAATGGGTAAACCATGAGCACCATATTAAAATTGCATATAGCTGAAATTAGGTCCACTTGACACTTTCTATTACAAAATTTTTCTTAACATCATATACAATTGCAAGTTGTTTTGGTCCAATGTGATAAAAACCACAAACACTTCTGTTTGAAATGTGCAACGGACTATTTACGATGAATATGATAAAAATGCATGCAAACAAATGTGATTTTCATCAAAACTGTTAAGGCTAGAGATCTTCCTTAACTCATCAGCTTATTTTACACCACAAAACTACAGTTACACTTAAGTGGATGATTTTGTAGATCATTTATTAATTAATGCCGATGGTTTTGAACTAAATAAGACTTTATAGTAAAGAACAGACAGTAACAGCTGTGGTCCATAACTATTCCTTCTCAACAAATTCTACATCTGAAAGGATACTTCACAAACTCCACTGGGTGTTCTTTCAATAAACTTGTAGCCTGTGTTTCCACAAACGAAGAAACTTCATAGCTTCTGTTTTTTCCTGCATTCAAATTTCAAGATAGCAATATAGGAAGACCTACCAAATTCTCTACCAGTCTTTATGACTAATATATTTGTTAATACCAGGTGACTATGTGAGTCAAATTCATTTTATATTGTATTGGTTTGAAAGAAACTACATTATTTAGTCACACCTTAATTTCCTGAATATATGTACAGTAAGAAAACAACTCAAACTTCCTACATGTATATGTACCATGTATGAACACAGAGTAACTTACAATTCAGCAACTTTACTCTTTGACTATTCTGATGTCTCATCAGAAAATTATAATCTATAGAAATAACCTACCTAAAAACTCTAACAATGTTAATCTAAGTTTGTAAATCAGAAGACTCTTTTATATGGAATTTTCTTTCATCATTAGCCCTAGCTACATTACAATCCTCTAGGACAAGTTCAGCTATACTAGATTTGGTGGGTGATTTGAAATTAGAGCATTCTTTTATGTGTGTTATTAGTTTCCTTTGGGTAGAGCCAATATAAACTGTAACACAGAAATATGGTCCTTAAATCTGAAGAAAAAGATTGTAGGTAATGATTAGGTTTCAAAACACACCTTAATTTTACTTATGGGTATACCCTATGAATGACTTGTTTTAGTTCATTGTCAATAATTATAAAACATCAACATGAACACAAACTTCCCTTTTTGCACTATAATTTTCAGCATAGATGAAAAGTTCCAAAGGAATATATTGTTACAACAGCGGACGTCACGTGACGCTGGGAGCATGCTCGCTGGAGTTTCTGGAAGGATCATGAATTTTCCTGGCAACTCTAGTTTGTTTGAGGTGCCCTCTTTTTTAGTATATAAGCCTGGGGAGAAAATCCAGTGCGATTGAAGAGATATAGGCAGATAGATTGAAGATAGAGATAATTGAATCAAGTGAACAGTAGACACTGTAAGTAAAGTGTAGTGAGTCACTGTGATTTATACCATGTGTTATAAAGGTTGTTAAGTTTAAAGTGACTGTGGAAATTCTGTATCTTACAAA